GATATAAATGGTATAAATAGATCCTTGAAATGTAAACAATCTATCTCTTTTTCTTCTGTTGTTAAAGTGTCACATATATATGATTAATAAAGTTGAATTATAATTTCATCACACAATACCGTGGTCTGGGTTCTTCTACAACACATCCCCCCCAAACATGTCCTCTTCCAGTTATAGGGGTCTGGTGGAATGGGACACCAGCTGATGGTATCTCTTAGGCCCCTTGTACATGGGGGGTCCAGCCCCTGTGGGTGCAATGCTGGCATTATAATACACCTGGTAGGCACAGGTACAGCGTCCAGCCCCGCTGCCTGCAGCCTGTCAAAGTCTACACTACAGCTGGACGGGGGCTCAATGCTGCACCACGTTTACCTGTGTTTAGGGCGCTCCGTGTTCAGGGAGAAATGACCGCCATCCTGATCAGACAAAGCATAAAGAAGATGTAGGCAGGTGCAGTCTGCTTCTTCTACTGTAGGGGGCACCCAACCAGGGGGACATCCCAGCCTGGAGAGGAAGTCGGGGGGGACACTTGTTTCTCTGTGGTTTCCCGGTTCCTGGAGACTGTGTGGAATGAAGGGGTCCATGGAGTCCTGGAGACATTTTTATTTTTTTGTTTACATGTTTTAAAAACCATTTATACCTTAAAATTACTTAAAACCCCAAAATATTATATATATTTCTTCACAACAGCAGACACACTAGAGGATAAATTGTTAGTAGTTCTGATGTTTTATGATTTTTATTATTTTACACAATATTAGTGCAATGATTTATGAAAGGTACAATTTCAGTTAAAAATACAGTAAAGTTAATTTCTGGGACATAAATGTCATTTATTATCTAAGGTTTCAGTAAAATATAAAAGATACATTGCTGTTCATATTCAGAATTCCTTTCTTACAATGGGATCTTGTGTCCGGATAAAATCTTTTATAGATCCCTTGTGACATTGTGTTCTCATTGTAAAATCCTAGATTTGTAAATCTGTCGCTGATATTTATAATGGTTTTGTCCAGAAAAAGAATGGAGTGATGTGGAGAGATGAAACATATGTATAGATGAAAGATTGGTCTGTTGACTCCCCAGAGCTCTTTCCATGAGAGATGTTTGTCCCCCCCCCCCAGAACTGAACAATGGTACGTTCCTGAATGGGCCAGGCTGCTGGTTTGTTGAATCCAGAGTCTACATACAAGATGCCTCCACAGTGTACATTGATGGGGCTGGGAAGGCTGGTACATGTTGTTCATTTGCTCCGGGTGCAGGAGATAGGACAGAATCCCATTGTTGCCGGGTGTCCTCGCTTTCCTCAAATTCTGTACTCACTTCATTTACAAAAGCAAACTATGTGAGTGGAGAAGGTGATTGTATCCGGCTGGAGCTCAGACCTGACAGGGACTCGGGATTTTGGGCCTCTTACGTCTAAGACAAATATAGTCTGAGTTGGAGAGAAGATAAAATATCATTTCTTCTCAGAGACATTCTGAGGGGTTTTCCACAATTTGTAATTGCTGACAATTCTTTTGTGGACATTCAGCTGTCAGTGGGGAAACCTGCCGACAGATGAGGAGTCATCGGTTAGGGGTGTGACCGCCTGATTTCCAGCCAATCATTAACAACCAGATCCATTTCACACAGAATTCAGATCAGTCCATCAATTGTCAACAGATGAGAATTCTAGAGAATTCAGAGAAAGCTCCACCCTCTTTCCTCTACACCAATCATGGATCTCCAGTTACCCAGTCAACGTGGGCATGATTTAATTGACATCCATCACTGGTGTCAGTGAGATAAAATAAGCCCCATTGTTGGTGTCAGTGAGATAAAATAAGCCCCATTGTTGGTGTCAGTGAGATAAAATAAGCCCCATTGTTGGTGTCAGTGAGATAAAATAATCCCCATTGTTGGTGTCAGTGAGATAAAATAAGCTCCATTGTTGGTGTCAGTGAGATAAAATAAGCCCCATTGTTGGTGTCAGTGAGAATAAAGTGTACCCCCAGCCCAGCATTGGTGGTCAGTGGTGGTACTTACCTGATCCCACCCTCCCACTATCTCTCTGCTGATGTCACAATTATACTTTCACTGTAGGAAAGGAGATGGCGGCTCCCAGCAGTCAGGTATAATTGCAGTGCCTGGTGATGGAACCCAGAGAGTGTTCCGGAGTCATCACCTCACTGCCACTCTGAAGAGTCCTGGAACCTGCCAGACATGGAAAGGATCATTGGAGAACATTTGGAAACAACAACAAGGTTCAAACTATGAGACATTTCTTGGAGCTGCAGTTCCTCTGAGCTTCACCAGGTGATGACCTTCCTTCTACCCAGACAGGAAGTGATGTCAGGTACAGTGATGTCAGGAGATGGGAAGTGATGTCAGGTATAGACGGGGCAACCTGACCACTGCACTCTGTACACAGGGCTGTATATGACATGTTCCTGACCTCTACACTCTATGATGGGCTGTACATGACATGTTCCAAACCACTGCACTCCTTTTGCTGAGCCGTGTATGACATGTTCCTGACCAATGACCACTTCTAAATGCTGGGCTGTATAAGACATGATCTTACCCACTGTGCGCTGTACATGACATACTACACTACACTCACTCACATACTCCTGACCACTGTACACTGGGACTGTATATCACATACTCCTGACCACTACACTCTGTACTCTGGGATGTAAATCACATACTCCTGACCACTACACTCTGTACTCTGGGATGGAAATCACATACTCCTGACCACTACACTCTGTACTCTGGGATGTAAATCACATATACTACACCTGACCTGGGACTAATCACACTCTGTACTCTGGGATGTAAATCACATACTCCTGACCACTACATGTACTCTGGGATGTAAAATCACATACTCCTGACCACTACACTCTGTACTCTCTGATGTAAATCACATACTCCTGACCACTACACTCTGTACTCTGGGATGTAAATCACATACTCCTGACCACTACACTCTGTACTCTGGGATGTAAATCACATACTCCTGACCACTACACTCTGTACTCTGGGATGTAAAAATCACATACTCCTGACCACTACACTCTGTACTCTGGGATGTAAATCACATACTCCTGACCACTACACTCTGTACTCTGGGATGTAAATCACATACTCCTGACCACTACACTCTACTCTCTGGGATGTAAATCACATACTCCTGACCACTACACTCTGTACTCTGGGATGTAAATCAATATCACATACTCCTGACACTCTGTACTCTGGGATGTAAATCACATACTCCTGACCACTACACTCTGTACTCTGGGATGTAAATCACATACTCCTGACCACTACTCTGTACTCTGGGATGTAAATCACATACTCCTGACCACTACACTCTGTACTCTGGGATGTAAATCACATACTCCTGACCACACACTCTACTGATAAATCACTCTCTGAAATCACATACTCCTGACCACTACACTCTGTACTCTGGGATGTAAATCACATACTCCTGACCACTACACTCTGTACTCTGGGATGTAAATCACATACTCCTGACCACTACACTCTGTACTCTGGGATGTAAATCACATACTCCTGACCACTACACTCTGTACTCTGGGATGTAACTCCTGACCACTGCACGTTGTTTGCAGGGCTGTATGAAGTAGTCTCCTGACCCCTGCACTCTGGGCCATTATTCATGGTGAACCAGAAACTGGATGACCTGTAAAGGCTTGTAAAGTGTCTCCTGTGAGAAATGTTTGGGCCCCAAAGATCCCCATCGTGGCCCCGACACACACAATTCTTTTCACTCAATAAATTCTTTATTATAGTTTTACTTCTAACAAGATTGTAATCATAGAATCAGGAAATAACAAAGGAAGGAATCTGATTGGTCAGGAAGATCCCTTGTCTGGAATGTGGGGGCGGAGTCATTATTATTGGTGTACAATACAATACACAACGTGTTCCATTATTATAACAAAGTATTGTAGAAAAGATCCCAACATGTGACATGGCTGAATGAATGCTGGTCATATTAGTTCATCTATTCTCTAAGTGGGGCGGTATCTATTGGGCCAATCCCTTTTACAAACCACACATAATATCGCCCTTCAAAGTGAAAACAGAAACGATTTGCACAAAATCAAAGAGTAGAAATATTTTCCGGTGGATCCCCTCTACCCAGACCCCATATGTAGACATAGAACAACAAGCTGTGTTCCCTCTCGTGCCCGCACTCCTCCAACCACCCAAACCCACACAGAAGCCAAGGGAAATAATGAGAGGAAAGTTCCCCCCTAGTTTGGGGCGGAGTTCTCCTTCCCTCCTGTTGGGGGATGGGAGAAGGATGGACTGAAGACAGAGAGACGCTTCGGGGTCACCACTGTTCTGTAGAGAGCCTTGAAATGAAGGACATCAACTTCAGAAGTTCTTGTTGTCTGTGTAAAGTTCCCCGATAACGAGATCTGGGCTCTCCCGGCTTCTAGCTCTGTAACCCGCTATATCATTATCAGGAAACGCAACTCCGACACCCAAGAAGGGCTGAAGTTGTGTCCTTCATTTCCAGGATCTACTGACCACTCTGCACCCCGACATTTACTGCACTTCATCCATGTCTTTGGGGGCCTCTCATCTCCTTATCAACTGTTTCTTCCATGATGAAGATCAGCCATGGAGTATATCTGAGGTGTATATCAGGGTGTGCTTCTTCCCCACATGAGAGCTGGGATGTCCAGCAACATTCATCTAGAAGACATTTCCCGCACTCAAGGCACTACTAATACACCTCCAGGGTTGTGTGGGACCCCTGATGTACAGGAAGACAGGACTTCAGTGAGGAACATTTCCCTCACTAAGGACAGGAAAGTGGCTTCTCCCCATGTGAGATCTCTGATGTTTATAAAGATGGACTTCTGTGAAAAACATTTTCCCGCACTCAGGACAGGAATATGGCTTCTCCCCTGTGTGTGAGATCTCTGATGTGTGTAAAGTGGGACTTCTGTGAAAAACATTTCCCGCACTCAGGACAGGAATACGGCTTCTCCCCCTGTGTGACATCTCTGATGTTGTAAAGACTTGGACTTCTCTGAAAAAACATTCCCGCACTCAGGACAGGAATATGGCTTCTCCCCCGTGTGAGATCTCTGATGTCTGTAAAGACTGGACTTATCTGAAAAACATTTCCCACACTCAGGACAGGAATACGGCTTCTCCCCTGTGTGAGATCTCTGATGTGTGATGTGTGTGAAGACTGGACTTTGTGTGAAAAAACATTTCCCGCACTCAGGACAGGAATACGGCTTTCTCCCCTGTGTGAGATCTCTGATGTGTGTAAAGATTGAACTTCTGTGAAAAACATTTTCCCACACTCAGGACAGGAATACGGTTTCTCCCCCGTGTGAGATCTTTTTGATGCACATTAAATGATGGTATGTAGAACAGAAACCTCTTCCCACACTCAGTACAGGAGAAGCTCTTCCCTGTTGGAAGGCCGGCCCGGCCCTGGTCCCGCACAGTCTGAGGTTCCTCAGGATACGAGGAATCCGATGGTCCATCTACACTGGGTGGTGCCGGATGGACATTGGAGGGAGCCGGGTTTTCTCCTGGACTATACTGTGTGATGTCCTCATCTTCTACTTTCCAGTCTGGAGACAAAGTGAGACAATCCTCGGAGGTTTTCCTCATCTCCCGGCCATGGACTAAAATACAAAGACAAAGAGGATTACTAGACAGGAGCTGATTGGTTCCCCAAACCAGGACTCCGCCCACATCAGGTAAAGCTTGGTCTCTGAGGAGCTTACAATTCCACCCTCAAGGGAACTAGGAAATGGCTCCTCTGATCTCCTACCATTTCATTTCTTTATTCATGGACCTTAGTCAGAGAGTGAGGAAACAACCAGAACTGTCTTTTATAGGAGGGACAGTGATGAGGGGATTATAGGACGAGGGTCCCCACCCCCTCTATCACTCATCCCATCTCATCGCCATCTTCCCAACACAAGAAGTACTGCACTTCCTTATTTAGTCCATGATTTAGTCATGAAGAACAGCGGGGCTGAGCCCCACCAGAGGTCAGAGAGTGAGGATGGGGGGAGAACAACCAAGATGAAGACTGGACTGATCCTGAAGACCACCATCATTGGGGTATTGACTCCTCCCTCATTATCACTTTCTGTTTAAGGGTCCAAAGTTGGAGGATGTTATCACATTATTATCACCATGTAAAAGTCTGTGCTCCAATCACATCATCCGATATAAAATGTCCAGCTGGGTAGGAAATGGGGGGAACAAAAGAGAATCCATATTATGTGTATATATAGCAGTGGGGGGAGGGGGGGGGAGAGCACAACAAGTATAGGAATAGGGAATGTAATGTACAACATAGAGTATATAGTGCAGGGGTCAGGGGAGTATGTAATGTACAACATAGAGTATATAGTGCAGGGTCAGGAGTATGTAATGTACAACAGAGTATATAGTGCAGGGGTCAGGAGTATGTAATGTACAACAAGTATATAGTGCAGGGGTCATAGTATGTAAGTACAATATAGTGCAGGGGTCAGGAGTATGTAATGTACAACAACATAGAGTATATAGTGCAGGGTCAGGAGTATGTAATGTACAACATAGAGTATATAGTGGGGTCAGGAGTAGTAATGTACAACAAGTATATAGTGCAGGGTCAGGATATGAGTATATAGTGCAGGGGTCAGGAGTATGTAATGTACAACATAGAGTATATAGTGCAGGGGGGTCAGGAGTATGTAATGTACAACATAGAGTATATAGTGCAGGGGTCAGGAGTATGTAATGTACAACATAGAGTATATAGTGCAGGGGTCAGGAGTATGTAATGTACAACATAGAGTATATAGTGCAGGGGGGGTCAGGAGTATGTAATGTACAACATAGAGTATATAGTGCAGGGGTCAGGAGTATGTAATGTACAACAGAGTATATAGTGCAGGGGTCAGGAGTATGTAATGTACAACAACAGAGTATGTATAGTGCAGGGGTCAGGAGTATGTAATGTACAACAGAGTATATAGTGCAGGGGTCAGGAGTATGTAATGTACAACAGAGAGTATATAGTGCAGGGGTTCAGGAGTATGTAATGCACAACATAGTATATAGTGCAGGGGTCAGGAGTATGTAATGTACAACATAGAGTATATAGTGCAGGGGTCAGGAGTATGTAATGTACAACATAGATTATATAGTGCAGGGGTCAGGAGTATGTAATGTACAACATAGAGTATATAGTGCAGGGGTCAGGAGTATGTAATGTACAACATAGAGTATATAGTGCAGAGGTCAGGAGTATGTAATGTACAATATAAATTATATAGTGTAAGGGTCAGGTAACTCATAATATTGGTATTCAGCAATCAGGGGAAGATTAAATGTTTACTGTAGACAAGTTGCAGAGATCCCACACCGCTGCCTCCCATCTCCTGAGACTGCACTCAGTGACTTGGGTCTGAGACACTACAGACATATCCCTCCACCCGGCACAGCCAGCAGATAACAGAGCAAGGAACCCTGGGAGAATTGTTCTGTCAGAGATCTTACTAGACCTGGGCATGGGGAGAAAAAGACCAAAAGCACACACCCCAGGTGCCTAGGTAGAGCAATGCCTATATGTGAAAATCAACATTTTGCTGCCAGCTGAACCCCAGAACCTCCATAAATCCAGTCTAGATACATAAATTGTGTCTGCAGCACAGAGAAGGAAGATTATCCGAGAGAAATCCAGGAATACAGGACGGGGAACACAGCTCAGGAAAGTGACCAGGGGATTACAGGCTGATATCACCCAGTCCCCGCCCTACTCTGGACCAATCAGTGAGCAGTATGGGTGGAGGAATGGATTTAGTGTTCATGACCCACCTGTGCTGATCTCTGTAGGAGTGTCCTCCTCTATAAATGTCCCCGTTATTCCATCCTCCTCCATAGACTGCTGATCATCCCTCACATACGCCTCTTCTTCTTCTGCTTTCACCTCAAATTCTATATCGATTGGATCTCCACTCTAAATCAAGGAAATGAGAGAAAATATCATCTGTAAATTATAAGCTCACATAAAATACCCCACACATTGTCTCCATGAATCCATGTTCTAGATTCTCCATCCCACCAACCTTGCAATAGTGAGGGATGGTGTGACCTTCCTGTGTGGAATCCCGGGAATACAGAGGACGGGGACATCTCTCTGGTGGGTTCCTGGTATTAGGTGGCTCCATCATATCCTTGTGTCCTTCTGAAAACTCCTCCATCACTCCATACTCCTCATCCTCCTCTTTATACTCTTCTTTAACATCAATATTATCATCCCCGAGGATTCCACTCTGAAAGATATAATAAAACATTCATTGTAACAAACATGCTGTGTATAAATCACAACTACCAATAATTGTTGTCATCATCTACCTGATGATGGTGAGGGATGGTGTGACCTTCCTGTGTGGAATCCCGGGAATACAGAGGACGGGGACATCTCTCTGGTGGGTTCCCATGACTGGATCCATCTGTAGGAAACACACACACTGACTGAATCCATTGTTTCTATGTGTGTTTATCAGATGATGGGGGATCTAGGTGGATCCTCCGTACTGCTCTCTCCTTTACAATAAAGTCTCCTCTTACCCGGTGATGTGAGGGGCGGCTGATTGTCCATCATGACGTCCTTGTAGAGATCCTTGTGTCCTTCTAAATACTCCCACTCCTCCATGGAGAAATAGACAGTGTGACACCCTGACACCTTATAGGAACCTGACACACACAATGATACAGTCACCATCCAGACACATCCCTTGTCTGTTACTGGAGAATGTCCCAGAATTCCCGGCACCGCTCACCTCTCCTGTCAGCAGCTCCATCATCTTCTTGGTGACTTCTAGAATCTTCTGCATGTTGTGTCTCTCAGGGTTTAGGGAGTCACATGGAGGCACTGTGATGGTCATATGATCACCTGACTTCAGAAGAGGAAATCTCTGTATTGAGGAACCAATAGGAATATCATGTTAGACTCCCAGAATCTTCCTCAAATCTCCGGTCAGGTCTGTTTATTATTAGAGATGAGAGTGATGTCATGTGACCTCCCAGAATCCTCCTCACCTCTCCGGTCAGGTCTGTGTATTATTAATAGAGATGCGAGAGATGTCATGTGACCTCCCAGAATCCTCCTCACCTCTCCGGTCAGGTCTGTGTTTATTAATAGAGAAGAGAGTGATGTCATGTGATCTCCCAGAATCCTCCTCACCTCTCCGGTCAGGTCTGTGTTTATTAATCTCCAGGGTGTGATGTCATGTGACCTCTCAGATGTGACTCCTCACCTCCTCCGGTCAGGTCTCATGTGTTTTATACAGGTCTCCTTGTAGACGGATAACTTTGGAAATGAAAGTAAGAATGATTTGGATGGTATTGGTCACACAATAATAGGATGTGGATGTGAGGGGGGAATAGGAGGGTTGCTGGACATTGAAGAACTACTCCCCCCATGGGAAGACATTTTGTTTGGACTGTTTAGTGTTTGAGGTACAATTTTGAGGTCCGGGGGTCCCCCTTTTCTCTGTTGGGTTTGTTTGGTCTCTGAACTGGTTTTGATGAGTATTAGATCTGCAGACAAGGAATGATAAATACGATCCTTCCTATGACTTGTTTGCTCTGAGGCAGTGCTGTGAGGTCAATGTCGGTCATTATGATGTCCAGGAAGGGGAACGTGATGACTTTTCCTGGCTAATCAGGATAATTCTGTCTATTCCCTCCAATGACAGCCTAGTGTGGGTAGAAGGAGGACAGCAGGGGGGAGGGGTTTGGTTACCAAGTATACTGTAGTATCCAGGACATTGTACAGAGTGGTGGTGGGTTCCTGGGGCTCTGAATTCCAGCACCGGGCACTGCCAGAGCCTATGTCATGGGAAGGTATTGGAGTGTCTCCTGAAGATGTTCAGCACTGATCCCTGACTACCTTTTAGTCGATAATACACCAACAGACCTCCTCTAAGAACAAGTGCCCACCAAGGGGGAAAGATTGTCCTTCTTCATTCCACTTGGTATCTTGGAAAATAATATTTGACCAGTGAGATGGTAAGAAGGTGAAGGTTGTCTTCCTTTCCTGGTAGGAGTTCTGTAAGAAGGTCTGGAAAGTAAGTGCAGGTAAGAGGACAATCGGAGACTAAGAGCCCCCCTCCCTACCTCAGAGTCCCCCTGAGCCTGACAACCTTTTCTTTCCTCAGAGCCCTGCTCCCCTCCAACCCTATCCACCCAGATTCCTTCAGCTACTCTACCCCCTAAAAGCCTTTGAACTCCACTACTCTCTGAGGGGCCCCAAAGTTTTCCCATCCTCAGTAACACCTGAGAGACCCCTCAGCTCCTCTACTTCCATCAGAATTTTCCTCCCTCTGACACCAATGATGGAACATATTCTTCATGGCTAGCTGGGGAATGTTTCCTTCCTCCTGAGCAGCAATGTAAGGGGCTCTATGCTCCATACTCCTGACCCCCACTCCATCATTTGTGTGGCTGCATAGTGTAATGATTGCCCATTGGCTGCCTGTGTAGTGTCATCATTGCCCTTTGTAGGCCATGTATGATCAGGATGGTCCTTGTCTTGTCTATTTATTGTCAGTGCTGTTTGTTTAGAGGACCATATTACTAGAATTTATCTCCACAATGAGGAGAATGTTCCGGCCCCCGAAGTGGGGGAATGTTCTGCCCCTGAAGGGGTTCATCTGGGTTCCCACATTATATATGTGTGTATCATCATCTGCTGGAGATAAAAGACATCACAGTGACTATGGAGGAAGAGGACGGACATGACTATGGAGGAAGAGGACGGATGTGACTATGGAGGAAGAGGACGGACTTGACTATGGAGGAAGAGGACAGACATGACCATGGAGGAAGAGGATGGACGTGACTATGGAGGAAGAGGACGGACGTGACTATGGAGGAAGAGGACGGACGTGACTGTGGAAGAAGAGGACGGACATGACTGTGGAGGAAGAGGATGGACATGATGGGGGGAGGGTTTACTGGGTGTAAATAGAACATAACAGCTTATTACCTCCTCTCTGCTGCCACTTCCACCGTCTCTCACCACTTCATATGGTATGGAACTTTATTCCAGATGACTTCCTGTCTCTGCCTGACATCACTTCCTGTCTCTGCCTGACATCACTTCCTGTCTCTGCCTGACATCACTTCCTGCCTGTGTTCTACAATAACTTCCTTTCTGGATAGAAGTGAGATCACCACCTTGTGGATCTCAGAGGAACTGCAGCCCCGAGAAACATTTAAAATATCCGTTTCTGTGGTTTCCATGAAAGATGAAAAATAACTAAAAAAAAACTGAGAAAAAATAAATCTAGCTCTTATGCAACCAACTATTTATTTTCCAATATTTTTATTGAAATGTTTCAAGTTACAGAAAATGTAATAGACAAGTGTCATGTTATAAGGTATGAAATATCCCCAACAAACAGGCGGATGAATAAACAACAGACATCCCGCAGGGAAGCAGGAAATGTGTGCAATAATGACTGGAGACGTCACATAGAACATTCCCAGCATTAAGTCCACCTTGTACAGGGGAAGCAATAATAGGAGACATATGGATCACACAGAGCATTCATCATACACACCACACATAGTGCACAACACATACAACATGGAACTCAACTAGCACCAGAACATGGGAAAATAAAAGAGACAGCAGAAAGGAAGAAAAAGAGGGTAACAGTAATGAGAGGAGAGGAGGAGGAGGGGGAGGAGAGGAGGAGGAGAGGGGAGGGAGGAGGAGGAGGAGAGGAGAGGAGAGGGGAGGAGGAGGAGAGGGGATGAGGAGGAGAGAGGAAAGGGGGGAGGAGGAGGGGGGAGAGGGGGGGGAGGAGGAGAGGAGAAGAGAGAGAGGAGGAGAGGAGAGGAGGAGGAGGAGGAGGGGGAGGAGGAGAGAGGAGAGGGGATGAGGAGCAGAGAGGAAGGGGGGGGGGAGGAGGAGGAGGAGAGGGGGGGGGGGGGGAGGAGGGGGAGAGGGGAGGAGGAGGAGAGGAGGAGGGGAGGAGGAGAGGGGAGGAGAGGGGAGGAGGGGGAGAGGAGGGGAGAGGAGAGGGAGGAGGAGAGAGGAGAGGAGGAGAGGAGAGGAGAAGAGAGCCATATCAGTACGTACTAGGGCACGGATATGTATGGAGTCCACGGATCCCACGTTTTATCACACATGTTGGTATTATGATGTAAAACACAGGTGAGTCTGTCGTTAATCAGGATCCAATCTCATTTGTTGTGAACATATTGAAGCGGAATAATTGATCTCTTCTAATATTCAGCAATAGTGATTCTCGCTGCTAACAGCATAGAAGTAAGATGCTTAACCCCTCGCCTACCGGGCACATATTCCCCCTTCATGACCAGGACAATTTTCACCTTTCAGAGCTGTCGCACTTTGAATGACAATTGTGCGGTCATGCAACATTGTACCCATATGACATTTTTTAGCATTTTTTTCACACAAATAGAACTTTCTTTTGGTCGTATTTACTTGCCGCTGGGGGGGGGGGGGGGGGGGGGGGTTATTTTTTGAGCTCTAAACAAAAAAAGAGCAAAAATGTGAAAAAAGTTTTTCTTTGTTTCTATTATAACATTTTGCAAAGAGGTCATTTTTATCCTTCACTAATGTGCATTGATGAGGCTGCACTGATAGGAAGCACTGATGGGCACTGATATGCGGCACTGATGATACTGCACTGATATGCAACAATGTTGGGCACTGATAGATGGCACTGATGGGTGGCACTGACTGGCAGCACTGCTGGGCACTGACTGATGACACTTCTGAGAGGCACTGGTGGGTGGCAATGGTGGGCACAGGTGGGTGGCACTGCTGGGCACTGAACATCAGTGCCCTTATGATCAGTGCCAATCCCTCCTCTGACAATTTAGTTATCGGCAGTACCTTCCTCACACTGTGACAGCGCGAGGAAAGTGCAGCCAATAACTAACAACTGCATTTCCCAGTGAACTGCTGTGTCATTGGACATGGCTGATCACGTGCTAAAAGGGCCGCTGTGATTGGCCTTTTACCACATCATGTGATCAGCTGTGTCCATAGAACACAGCAATCATGGAGATGGCAGAGAGTGCGTGCTCCGGGGGCGAGTGGGACGGCATCATATGATGCCCTTGCAGAACCGGCCGACTGAAGTAAAGCCGTCATTCAGCTATCTGCGATCAGCAAGTGTTTTAGGGTCTTTTTTGGTACTGTAAGTGGAAATTTATGGAATAGGGCGGATTCCGGGGCCCTACCAACATTAACCCCCATCACCCTATAGATAAGGTTAAGCATGCAGATCCAAAATCTAGTAACTATCAGACATTGCCACCAAACGTGGAACATAGAACCCATCTGGCTGCAACACTGAAAGCACATTGGTGAGGCAGAAGGATGCCTCCTCGCTGTCCGAGTTGGGACCCGGTACCATCACAATAGCTTTATAGTTTGCGTCCATTAAGGTAGTATTGATGGAAACTTTAGATGATGCCGGGCTATGTCTTGCCAATCAGATAGATCATAACTAACATTCAGGTCCCGTTCCCATTGATCCATATAGGGGAGTTACAGTTTGGATCAGCAAGAAGGATGTACACCACAGAAATACGACCTCTAGAGAGATTCTTATGCTGACAGGAAAGTTCAAAATTGGTAAGAATGGGCGCTCCATCTAGTAAAACAATTTTCAAGTGGATAAAAGTGGCAATTTGATTATATCTGAAAATTTATGTATAATATCTTCTATCGTTCCACACAAAACGAAGCACCTCTGCCTGTAGGAGCCGCAGCTCGCGTCTCAGAATTGGTATCGATAAGGTCCAAAAGAAGTATAATATTAGAGTTAAAAAGGTCATTTTAATAGAGCTGATCCTGCCAAACCAAGATATAGAGTAAGCAGCCCAACGATGAAGATCTTCCCGAAGTCATTTGAAAAAAGGGGGATAGTTCGCTTGGTATAATAGGGTCTCAATTGAGGCCGTCAAATTAACCCCCAAATAGGGTAAGGAGTTGCTGAAAGTCATAGAGTTTGAAGCCGTTGCTCCATTGAAGAAGGTAACAAAACATTAAGGGCTATCGTTTTATGAGAATTTAGAGTCAGCCCAGAAAGTTCAGAGAAGTGACTCAAGAGACACAATAGATTAGGTAAAGTGGCCAGAGGGGATGTAACATACATGAGAACATCATCAGCAAATAAAGTGTATTCATGTTCCTGATGACCACAGGGACCCCATGGATTCTGGCATGAAAGCAGATCGCCATAGCTAAGGGTTCAATTGCCAAAGCAAAAAGCAGTGGGGAGAGTGGGCAACCCTGTCTAGTGCCACGTCGAATTTGGAACACAGGGGATCTGTAACTTCTAATGGACACTTGACCTGAGGGGGTGTTATATAATGACTGCAAAAGCACAAGAAACGCAGCACAAAATCCAAAAGCTCCCAAAACAGTAAACAAATATTCTCAAGTTAAAGCTGTCAAAAGCTTTATGGAGGTCCAAAGAAAGAATCAGCAATTCCCAAGAAAGAGGGGCATCCCAATTAGAGCGAACAGCAGAAATCAAAGCTACGGACCTTCAAATCTGATCTAACATTTGGCAATCGGATCTGATTGGTCTTTTGTGAACATACTGCGCCAAAAAGGAATTAAGACGCAGGGCCAAAAGTTTTGTCAATATTTTCAGGTCACAATTTATTAGCAAAATAGGCCGATAACACTGTTCAACAGGTAAAAAGTTTTGGGCATAAAATTAGCTAATCTTACATAATTTTGGGGTGCTGAAAACGAAAATGACCCTAAAAAATGTTGATTGGCTCTAGTTTCCATGATATATTCACCCATCTAATGACGTAAGCCATTCAAAATTATGATGCAACTTCAGCTGCATATTGCGCAATTGATACTGGTGACCAATAGAAAATTGCATGTAAACTGAGATGATGCAATATTAGCCTTTAATTGCATCACTTCACTGCATAAAAGCTGCAGTATCTGTAGCTGATTGTAGTTCGTCTTTACATTTCGTTTTTATGCTTATATAGGCTACTCAGTAATGCCTGGAAGTTGTGTGAATAAAGCAGATAATTTCTGCTATATCTGCGGTGAAATAACTTTTTATCTCACAAAAAAGGAGGATAACAGGAATGATTAAGAAAGCCTACAACTTGTATTTTGGCTGCAAGATAGGAGACCAGGACAAGAGCTGGGCACCACATATATGCTGCAATTTTGTGGGACGGCACTGGAGCAATGGTTGAATGGAAAAAAGGCATCTATGCCTTTCGCTGTGCCAATGATTTGGAGAGAGCCAACAGATCATGTTAGTAATTGTTACTTTTGTATGGTGCCTCCAATTGTAAAAGGGCTAAATAAGAAGAAAAAGTTATCTGTGCACTATCCAAATATTCCATCGGCAATACGTCCAGTTCCTCATGGAGAGGGGCTACCAATTCCTAAAGCACCAGAATCCTTCGTGGTTGAGTCAAGTGAGGAAGAACCTGAAGCGTGTAGTCACGTGCAGTTGTAAGAGATAGCCCTTTCCTCGAATACAAGAGAAAAGCCAAGAGAAGCAAAACCGACACAAACTGAAGACAAAACTAGTGAGAATCCTAAGTATTAAAATGATTCAACTTAGCTTATGGCTATCATTTTTTTGGTAATCCTATGCAATATATTATGCCATTTAGGCTTTGTTATGTAGTCAATATCACTTGCTTTATATTTGTGGAAAGACATCTATCTATATAATTATTGTGCATTATGTAGTCATTACGCCTATAGTAGAAAACTTTCCGTTTACAGAAAAACTAGAGCCAATTGACAAATTTCATTGTTATATTTGAACTCAGAATGTGAAATTCATTAAGAAATGGATCCTTTTGTTTCCAAAACTGGCAAAAAATAAAAATTTGTTGAACAGTGTAATTAAGGATATCAGTCGCATCTTTATTAGGTTTAGGAATAACACTAATATCTGCTTTATTTTCGTATAAAGGAATCACCCGTCTTCTCTCAAGGAACTGAAGTAAAGAGCCATATGGGGGAGAAGATGGTCAGAGAAGGTTTTATAGTAAACATTTGGTAAACCGTCGGGGCCCGGGGACTTATGTGATG